AAAGGCAGCTACACCCCCCCCCCACCTCCGCCACTCCCCTGCTACGACAAAATACGACCTCCTCGCTGGGGCTTCCCAACGTACGACGTGTCTGGCAACTAATTCCATTAAAATCCTCGCAACATTTTGTCGCCAGTTGCCCTAAAAGATGACCAGCTGGGTATGCAAGACAGTCTTTTTATCCTCCCGGACAAGTCTAATATATCCATTGCTCTCGCAGAGATGAAAGGTCGAAAGTCTAATGAACACTCCTTGGTAACCAAAAAGTCTCGGGGATTGATGACTAATAGTACTTCGCCAAATTTGGAGGCGAAGCGAAACATCTTATTGACTGCATCACTCTAATTTTGATGTACTAACAGTCTTCGGCGCCTTACGGCTTGGGAGGGGCACTTTGCACTTTCGCTACTTCATTTCGAATTCATGTTAATTAACAGGTTACACTTTGTCGGAACCTGTAAATTGGGAAGCTGTGAAGCTGGAATTAGTGAGCCGCTTTGATTCCAGGGGTGCGCAGGTCTTCACAATGTGGCCTGAGCTCGGGTACCATGCTGTGCCCCTACCGAGCTACACTGCGGCCAACCTTCATTTCCTTACTTCTTTAATAGTTAGCCAAGGAGTCTAGCCAAGGGGAGTCAGTTTGTCTGACTCCGATCACGCTAAACTTGCCACTATACGGCCTGGACGGGGCAATAGGGGTAAGTAAACGCTTTCCAAATCTAGATGAGCTCCATAAGCGTTAGTCCATTTAGTCAAACCAGGACAAGCCAAAAGAATGGCCCAAGATTTACCTAGTAACCCGATTTCTGAAGATGAGTTCCTTCGAGCAAATTACTACCATAATCGGACACCTGGACTGAATGGGTAGGTTCGTACTAGCCACTTAGCCACTCCGCATTTCCATAGGAACAACGTCACAGCTGGTGTTTATGAACGCCAACATTCCTGCGTGCTCTTATGCACTTTAGAACATCAAAGTAAGTACTCGATATTAGCATGGCCTACTTAATGAGGGGACTTCCATTCCTAAGAGTTTATCTACCCAAATTAAAGATGTTGGGGGAATGCGGGGAGAAACTAATGTTTTCCCCTTTGAGAAATTGGTGCTTTCACATCGTTCGGCACCGCTGTGCAAAACCTATCAGGAAGGGGCTGGATGGCGTGGCACCAGCTCGTTCTACACCAATCGCTGAAGCGGGTAAGCGACAAAAATTGGTGGATGGAAAATGAGCTGGCACCGCGCCAAACCCAGCCCCCCCCTCTGATACACCCAAGCATCCGCAGCGAACAAGACCGACCACAGTCAAGACAAGAAAACGTGAATATTTCAGCAATAAAGAACTTTCAGCCAAAAATGTACCCCTCAAGAGCATTTAGATCAGCATTTCAAACCCCGAAAATACATAGAAGCAACTCTTAGTAAGCAAAAGTAACTCACCGATTCCTCGCAATATCAGCAGAGATTGGCAGTACGGACTTGTCAGAAATACGACTTCGCCGAGGAACGAATGTCTTCTGCGATTGTAAATCATTAGAAGTTCGGTGAGCCTTCGGAAGAAACTACGGATGGCGCAGGAATTGACAACGGTGTAGTAGCCGCTTCCGAAATCGACAGTGACACGGACGGTAAGGAGGACTGAAACAGACTGAATCAGGAAATCTGACTGATTGGCAACAAACTATACGTGATATCAACAAAACGGTAAAATGATTGAAAAAGGATGACGAAAACAAGATGGGATGAGACAGAGAGACAGATAGAAAACATCCAGACAGGTGTACGGGTAAACAGATCAAAAAGTGGCCAGACAGATGGATGATGGCGCTAAAGGCGCTCATCATTTTCTTTTTAAGAAGAGTCACACACCACTTATTTTCAGAATCTTGGAAATTTTTAAAAGGATAACGCGCACGGGGTCGATCGATCCGTTTTGGAATGCGCCACGCATTTTGCAGAACCGTGAAGTTTGGCCCACACAACGGTTTACAGCGACGAATCATTAAATCGCGTTTCTGCCCTATGGAGTATTATCCAAAAAGCCTGGCAGGTGGAAAAGGCTGGTGACAAGGGAAAGATTTGAGCTCAGGGTAATCCCTCAAGTTGGGAGAAATTGCATCCTCAACTTTCAATCCCATTACCCGAACCATCCTTCTGTACCGACACTAGTTAACTTTGCCTGATCCTACAATCCGTCGATGTGAAAGACAGACAAGGGTAATGAGCAACACCAAAACATATTTTCTCAAAAGGCTATTCCCATGCCCCTTCCCTTAGAGACGCAACTACCACCCCCTATCTCGGGATCCCAACTACCAAGGCCCTGCTAGACCGTTTCGATAATTTCAGCGAATAAAGTCCTCGATGTTGATATTCTTAGATCAAGGCTGGATATTAGAGAACCTGGACTAGAATTAAGTATCGGGTGGTAGGGACAAAAGGCGCACTATAACAATTGGACTATCATCGATAAACATTCAATATCAAAAAGTTTCCTAGCAAGAAAGTCAGTTGACGCTGGATGGTACAGGATGAGGTCTCGAAAGATTACTGGTATGGTACTAATAACATCTATTCCAGAAATTAATTTATATGCACTTTGAATTCTAGAATATAGGGTGGGGATGTTGCTGGGTGGGAACATTATCCCCCCCCCCGAGCCCCTTAACGAGTTTTCCTCTACGCATGGAACCAGTAAAGCAATTAGCCAGTAGTATATGTATTTATATAGAAAACCATCACCAGAACACGATACCCTTCAACAAGTACACTGAGCACAAGCGATCAAACATCCCATATGCTCCTTCAGAAAATCTCCCTTTTCCTCTTTCCTCCCCCTGCCCCGGGAATCGCAGAACTGTAACGGATTTCGTTTTCTAAATTTCTCAACTGAAATGACGTGGGAGTCACCTAGACATTTTTGAAACAAATTCTCAGAGCTGCTCTCATTTAGGCCCTGAATGACGTCATAAATGGGTCCCTGGGGTTCATAACTCCGAATAGCATGCGATCCTTGGTTGTTCGGCCGACGCCTGACCCAATTGATCTATCTCATCTCAATACCACGACGAATTTGGCCCCCTTCCACGTTCCGATACGACACTACAAGGCACTCTAAATCGCCCCCTCTTAAAGAAAACTGTCCGGAAGTATCGATTGTTTTGACAAGTTTTCGTCGGGGCTGAAAAAGAAGGTCAACCATTCTGTCTCTCGGACGGTCCTCGTCAACAACACCATCAGCTGATGCGTTGTTATCTGTGGATGTTTTTGTTGTTGTGTTACTCGATTGTTGCTAGTTGGTTGCCCTTGCCCCGCGAACACCCCTTCCCTCGGGTGATCCGGTTTATGGCTCTTTGCCAACACACTTTTGCCCCGTCCCCCCTGTTGCCTGCCTGCTGCCTCTTCTGCTTACCCTTGCCTGCATGCCTGTGTGTGTGTCTTATTTACACATCATGTATCATGTGAGTGGTACCCACCACCACCGTACACCATGTGAGCGCGAATGTGCCGTCGCACTTTCCAATGTCGTGACCTGGGTCACCTGGCATTCGGGCCCACATGAAGGCGAGAAATCAAAACCACTAAAATAGCTCAATTCAGAGTTCTCCTTAACATGCACTTTTGGGAATTAAAGACTATTGGTAACGCCAAACAGGTTCTTCATCGAAACCGCCTGAGTAAAGAAAGCCGAGGTGGCGCTAATAACCTTGGTGAGGGGGGGGGAAGCACGCCTGCATGTGCTCACCGGCAAAATCCTTGAACTGCATACATGTGAATACGGGACAACCTTGTCAACACCCTGTAAGTCTTGTTACCACCTGTCAAGCATCCTGTAACTCCTGTCAAACTTGTCAAAATGACTGGGTCAAGATTTGGTGTGGAAAATGGAGAAATGGCGTTCTAATGACGGTAGTACCATGTCGCCCAACCTGACAGGACTTAACAGGGAACTTGACAGGAATTAACAGGACGTGCAGGGCTAGACACGATTGCTAAGGAACAAAAGGCAAAACAAAAACAAAGACACCCACTGAGAAGTTCACAAAGAGTGCCCCCTCCGAGGTTATTAGGTCCAAAATGGGATGTAATTGACGGCCAGAATCGGACTGACGTTACCAGGTATAACGCCCCTTCACTGATCCTAACAAAGACCTAACCTTTCTTTCAGATGCCTGATAAATATATCAACTGTTTAAAAATAACTAGCATGTGTGACAAGCTTTACGGAGCTGTTTGACGGCGGTAAGAGGCTTATTGCCCGTGTCCCAAATGAATTCAGACAAGTTTGAAAATGCAATGAAAACTGGTTGAATACGAGAAACGCCGAGGACATTTCTATGGGACCGAACACAAGTTTAAATTCAGTCCAGAGGAAACCGTTTCACAGATCAACTTCGAACATTAGCGTTACTCATTTCAAGTCACTGGCAGAGGGAGAAGATCTCCTGACCCTCCCCACAGCTTAGCATTTCTTCCCTGTAAACTGAACTACGATTCACTAGCCATAGTGTAAAACGCTCCAAATGCTGCCCGTCTGGGAAAGGGCATTACAACAACTTCATAAACACCACTTATAAAGTGCATCACAACCAGTAGGCTGTCACTACTGAGCGGTCACATTGCGATAAACATTAAAGTTCTCAGTGTAAGTTATACAGGCGAAACAAGTAGCAAAGGTGGGTTAGTCAGGGTCACTTGGAAGGTTGTCCAGCCGAGAATCCGAAGAACTTCGGGGAAGGGGGTGGGTAGCATGATTGGCAAAGATGTGACGTTCTTCAAAGGGGAACAGTTCAGGAGATCCGATTCCGCTGAAACCAGCATTCCTGGCTAGATGACTCTATATAACGCTTTGGGGTGAATCTATGGGTCACGACAGCCTCTAGTTCCTATAACCGTTTAGATCAGGTCCAGGCACCAAATATTCCGTCCTTCTTAGACAAATCGGA